CTTAGTGCTTGCACTTCACACTCGTTAACAGACTTTTCAATCCACCTCACTGATCTTTGTCCTAGACAGAGCAGAAAGCATAAAAGAACTCATCTCTGCATGTTTGTCCTCCTGACTACTCTTCTCTTCATTCAGCCCCTCCTGATCGTAACTAAGCATGATAATGTATTCAAGTACAATTCACCATTTGGAGACTAGCAAGATGTCAGGCATCCACAAGACTGTCTTAAAATTCAAGTGGACTCTATTCTCTCTTCATTAGGTTTTATACACTATCCAAAACCACTGGTACTAATTTAAACATGTCTGAAGGAGCATTACAAAGAATACACGCTGTTCTTTTTTTGCCTTCAAAAGAAATACAGTTAGACTTAAAAGGTTAAGAGAAATCGGATGGTTGCACTCAACTAGGGAGAGCTGATTAAAAAAAAAAGTCAAACACACACAGAAATAAACCAACAAGCAAGAATCCCTTATTTAAAAGAACTGAGTTTTAATTATTTTCTTAAAACTAAAAGTTGACTTGCAAGAAATATAGCTTAGTGATGACTAACCAGCAATGAAGTTCAGCACATTTTTTGCTTATGAAGAGGATCCATTATATGCATATTTAAGAAACTGGGTATGTTGCTATTTTTCACCTTTTCAGGTTAACACAACAAATGTGAATGATCCATCTTTTATTTACTACATTATTTTTTTGGCACCATGGCCATAAGATGTTCTTGATGACAACTGAAATTTAAGTAGTAATGCAGAAAACTGGCATGCAAACTTTCTTCAGTTAAATATTAAAATGCTGCACACAAGCAAAAATATAGGTTTATCATAATTTCAAATGAAATGTTAAAGTCCTTTAAATGGCAGTAGTTAAAACAATTAAAAGTACTAAACAAAATGGATTCTCTTTTTAAATTCACTTAACCAACCCCGTCAATAAATTGAACCTCCTGCACTTTGGTGGAAAATGTTCTCTCCTGACAGGATGACTCAGAACCTTAAATATGCAAATAACCAGAAACATCTTTAGTTCAAATGTTTATTGGAACACTGCAATTCACATTAGCTTCATGTGTGTTCATTCATTCAGGACCCTTAAGAAGTGCCAATCTTCTGTGCTTGCTAGGTTGTTTAATAAAGGCCTCTTACTGGACTGTATACAAACAATCTAGTCTTCTGAAAACAAATTAATCCTTTATCTAGAAGGCTTCCTGTTATATTAACATTTGTGAAAAGGTGTGTAAAATTTAGTATTCTGAAAATTCCCCCCCACAAAGTAGACAAGCATTCCAGATGCCCCAAAAGCTGAACCACTTAGACAACTAGATCCTTATTAGGCTTGTCAGCCCATCTGGTTTATAAACTTTGTTAAGCAGCAAATCATTCCAAACTGAAGATGATTTTTTTAAGAAAACTGTAAAGAGAAAGCAAAAACTACAAAAAAAGGAAAACAAGAGTAGTCCTCACCACAGCATCAAGATTGCACATAAAATTGGGCATAGACAACTCTGCAGTAACTTGAAAACAGGCAAGTTCACCTTCCCAAGAAAGTTAAATTAATAATTCTTCGAAGTGGCAAGTAGTACTAGACTAATGTGCCCAATCTGAAAACCAAATGAAACAAAATGAAAACCAGGAGTGTCCAGGAGAGGTATTCTAGTAAATTCTACACTGGAAGTCCTGGATTCAAATCTTTTCTGAGGTCTTAAGTAGAAATCATTCAAATCAGCCAACCTGCATCTATTCACATTATATAAAGCCACTAAACCAGTGGTTTGAGTCTCCAGCCTGCAGGCCAGATAAAGCCTGTGGAACCATGTTATCTGGGTACTCCCCTGCTGGCAAATTTCTAAGCCCTGTAAGCTGCATGTGTTGTGTGTATGGCCCAGGCCACATACACTTGATCAGGGCTGGGGCTGGGGCCATACACTGGGCCAGCCGGCCATGTCAGATCAGGACCTGGCTAGACACACTGGTTTGGGACCATGAAATGGATCTGGCCTGCAGAATACCACATTAGTCAACCTGCTCACAGGGCCAAAAGGTTTGGCACCACTGGATGAAACAGTTCAGTGTTCAGCAATGAAGCTCTAGGCTGTATAACAAGAAGGATTTCTATACCTCCCTGCCTTTCTGCCATCTGACACCACCAGGGAAGGAATCCTGCCTTATCTGCACATCAAAGAGCAACTCAAAAGACACCTCTCATGGACCCAGAGGAACAAACTTCCACCTTCAGCTTCCTCTGTAGAAAAATGAAGTTTATTTTCTACCTGTGGGCACTTTTTACCATCTTTAAATTTTCCCTGAGCCTAAGGAAGGGCACATGGGCCCGAAAGCTTGCAAAAAAGATTTTTTTTTGGTAACCTCTTAGTTGGTCTAATAAAAGGTATCATCTCTGAATGAAGAATTCTAGAGTTTTGCGTTCCTCAATAAAGCTGACACTTTAATAGCAAAAGTGTTTCAGATCAGGTTTGGATATATTAGCAGAGCTGTGCAAGGCAGAGGTCAGCAACCTTAAAATTTAGTGCACCATTTCTAAAACAGCTCAGTCTGATGGTGGGCTACTGCTTGCAACCTGTCTAACTAAAATCTCTTCCAGCCCACAGGCCACAGGTTAACCCCTAGCACAGAGGAATTTGTAAAGTGTAGTTATATGCTATTGCAAGTTCATGTAGCACTTATACCTTAAGATCATCACATTCCATATCTTCTCTAGGCTTACTCCACAGCTTTAGGTATTCCACATATTTTCGTTTTTCTTCACGTAATTTCTCTCTTTCCTGAAATAAAACACTTTTCAGAATTAGCCATACAATTGGTCACATTTTATTACCAGGCTCTGCTACTAAAGCCGTGCAATTCTATTCAATTATTTGGTGAACAATAGACAGTTATGTTCAGTAGCACAATAAAAACCTGTTTTTATTTTGGACAAGATCCAAGATGCTTAAAGTAAAAATAATTGCAGAACCAGCCCAATAACAAGCCCAAGGATTATCAAAATGGGTGATATTTTGCAAAAGCAGTCATGATAGAGAGGTAAAAATTGGAACACTTAACTGATCAGTAGTTTTTCTTGTTTTCCAACAGATAGAAAACATGCATTTATAAATTAGTCAAAGGGATACTTTCCAACTAAAATCTGTTGGTAAAGAAGAGGTTTGAACCACTCAAACATCAGGAAAGTAATTCTTGGCCAATTCAGATGTTTGCCTTGAGGCAAAACAATTCAGCAGATAAAGATACCAGCCACACTTGCTATATTTAGATGTGGTTACAGCAAGATGTAAGGCAAGGTAAAGAATTTTTCAAGTTCAAAATTTATTTCAAAGTAGGAGACAGTAAGGTAGCCAATAACATGTTCCTGAATGTGTCAGACTACCATAAAAAAAATTCAGCATCTGCCAAAAATTTATCGTCCTATATATCACTAATGCTGAAACAGAAAAACAAAACAATTGTGATTTCAGATGGCACCTTTAATTGCTCCCATTAATCTGTGGGAAAGGCTATATACTCCAGTAATCTGAATGGCACATGTAGGCTATTATGAAGAGCAAAGGACTTTATATGCAAGGTGCAAATTAAGGAACACCGTAACTAAAAAGCAAATAAGCCAACCAAAACCAGAATGCCATTATACTTTTCAGTATTTTATAAATATGCATATATGGAAGTCACATTACTTTTTCCTTTTCAATCTTGAGTCTCTCTTTCTCCTCTTTTTTCTTCATCCTTTCTTCTTCCACAATCTTTTTTAGCTCCTCTCTCTTTTTCTCTTTATCTTCTCTCTCTCTCTTCTTTGCTTCTATGGCATTTGCCTTTTCTCTCTTTAATTTAGCTTTTTCAAAAGCTGAACAGAAAGAGGATGTTTACCATGTTGCAAATGAAAATAATTATGTGAAACACTTTAAAATAGACAGATTGATAAATAGTTACCATGTGAAGAGATACTGTTATGAACACTGAATTGTTTCTATGCCAACCAAAAATTCCAATTCTGCTCTATCCAGCAATATTTGAAGATCAGAATCCTAAACACCTGAATTTGCAATACCATTATACACAGTCCACAGAATAATTTTAAGGAGATGGAAATCTTGTACATTTCCCCTAGCATATAAAAACTTAAGTTGAAAAAGTTAAACAAGAAATAACTTGAATAACCAACAACATTTTATAACTGTATAACCAACGCACAGTTGAGGAATGAAAGTGTGTCACATTAAAGCTGCACAATCAATAGAGCTATTAATTTAGTTTAAGTAACAAAAATTGCCTTAGAAGTTGAGAGTAAGGAACAAAATGAAATTGTTTCCAATTAGAAATAGGGGCCTGAGACAAAAACTGAAATATTGACTTGTAAGAGTTTTTAAAAGTTAGCAGGTTTCTAGAATGGAGTCTGCCACCTGGTTACCATTTGGAAGTCACGACAATACTGTTTACATCCCTAGGTTTAATTTCCAATGCAGTTTAATTTAGCTGTCATGTTTGAACTATAAATTAATAAGACTTCATAGCAGCTCTTTAGATCAAGTACTACTTGCAACCTAGCCAATGCCACAGGCCACAAGTCTCCATCCCTCCCCCAAGAGTACCCAAGCTGCCTCTGCTTACCCTCACCAGCAATCCCTATCCCCAACAGCAAGAGACAGTGGCAAATTCGACAGTGAAGGTAAGCACCTAATGTGAGAGCACCAAAGGAAATGAGCAACAGAGCAGCTGCATGCCATGGATCCCCTCCCCCCATGTCATCCCAGACCACTTCACACCTTTGCAGACTGGATTTAACCTCTTCCCAGGCTGGATTTGGTTTGTAGGCTGTTAATGCGCATTCTAGCCAGGCAGCATAAAACTTGGAGGGCTGACAACATACATAGTCTTTACAATAAACACATGCCACCTCACTTCTAGAAGCAATTCAGTTTGGAGCTGTACAAAGAGTGCATTTGGTTACCCATCTATCCTTGATCATCCCGTCAAATGAAAGTTCAGCTAAAACATCGTCCTAATGTGAAGAACTAGATCAAATCTCATACTCGGATTCTTACAAGATTCAAGCACCTAAGTGTCCTCTTCCCTCCTTTGTCACTTTCAGCACATACGGGTAAGTGGCCTCCATATCGACCTCTTTGCACAAGTGAGCCCCTTCCTTTCCCCAAGTGCTAGTCTTCTCAGAAGATAAGAGAAAAGCCTCGCATAAAAATGGAAATGCCAGAGTTTCTATACAAATGCCAGCCCCCAAGTCTACAGTCCTTACTCAGTTAAGGCTCCTCTTCAAAAGGAGGAATTGGTTTGCCTGAGAAGGGCTGCAGAATAATAAAGTCAAGCCTTACCTCTAAAAGAAAAGGGGCACCAATTTAATCAAAATAATATTTAAGACATTTGTCAAACCAATGTAAAAAGCTCTTATTTTGTTTCAAGCAAATTATTTTGGTTTAAGTCCTATCTGATAGAGCCCCAAAATATCATTAATACAATGAGCTTTTGAGCCTGCAGGAACTGGCTCTAACAATCAAAGAAGGGGTTAACTTACCCATGGCCTGCATTTCTTCTTTTTGTTTCTGAAGCCGGGCCCTTTCTTTTGCTAGTTTGCTTCTATTTCCTTGGGTATTTGGTTTATCAGCCACCCTGTCTTCCTGGGTTGGGAGGGGTGGGGGGGGAGAAAAAGAGAATCATAGCATCTCTAACAGGAAAATAAATTTCAATTCATCACAAATTTTGAAAGAGTTGAACAAAAAAAAAATCAAGAATACACTGTAGCTTTGCTTCATATTAAAGCTACTGCTGTGGCTTAGGCATTTGTCTAATAATGGGAGAACTGAAACAGGTTTTTTTTACAGTTAAAATTACTTAAAATTTAAGTAATAGGATGTGGTTCATATGAACAGGTGCATATCAATTTCCATTTGTTGTTGCCGAAAAGGAGACAAAATGTAAAGTTATTTCTGTGGCTGGTAGAACCACCCCAAAAATCCACACATCTATCTTTAATTTCCATCAATTGGAAGAAAAAAAAAAAAGATTGCATTTCAAGTGTTCCTACTTTCCTCCTCATATCCCCATGTTTACTGAGGAAAATGAGAAGCCTTAACATATTGCAGCTTAATAATAATTAAATATTATTCAATAATTTAATCTGAAATAAGGAAAATAAATCTCAATGTAAAGTCAGTTTTGGTAGTACTTACATGACTTATAGATGGCCTCTTTGGAGGCCTCCCTCGTCGCTTAGTTGCAGGACTGAAGATAAATGTGGGTGGGTCATCAGGAAAAAAGTAGGAGAAAGTTTGTTCTGCTATCTTGTATTTTGCAACTGATGTCGCCTTAGCAGGAAAGTTGAAAACAGATATTAACTGTTAAGTTAATAGTTCTTCATGCACAAACTCACAGTTAAATGAAGAATTCAGGAAAACAATGAAACTACCTATAAGTCTGTTAGTGAGGGTAAATTGTATTCTAAAAATACAGAAATTATCTAGTAAGAGGCGACTGATAAATGACAGATCTCAAACATCTCACCAGTTCCTGCTGAATAGTAATGGTAATGGAATATTTGTGCCCGAGCAAAGAATTTGGCCTCAAAAAACATGTGTGCAAACTTCAGTTAAAGTCATTTTAAAACACATTATTTATTGAAAGGTAGTTCTTACATATTTGTCAATGCTGAAATTCAAGGATGAGAGTCTTGCTCCCATTTTGGTGTCTGTATGCCATGTAAAGTTTCCCTTAAAAATGGTGCTGGGAAGGAGGCAGGAAAAAGGTGCTTGCAATACAAAGACCCCAGGCACTGCTACAAGACAAGACAGGCAACCCAGAGAAATTGCCATAAAACTTAACCCAAGAATCTCACTAGCCCTCAGACAGCACAGTAGCTTGAGGTTATTAAGATCATTTAAATCTGACCTAGGCATCCACCCCCATATTCTGCAAAATCTAGAGATTCAGTGCAGGCAACCCCCGCTTAATGCGGTTTTGCTATAGTGCTCATTAAAAATACCTACCTGGTTTCACTTAGTACTCAGTGGTTTCGTTATAAACACTCAGCATGGCAGGTAGGGCAACAGCAGTGGTAGCTACATCCAGTGAAGCAGTGAGTGGCAGGTGGTGGGGCCCAGGCTGGGGTGGCAGGAGCAGAGGGTCCACTCCTGCTGGAGCAGCCAGTGGGCAGGGAGAAGCAGCAGTGGTGGCAGGCATGAGCACAGGGCCCGGGCTGGTAGGAGCATGGGGCCTGGGCGAGCCAGTGCTCAGAGACACATGCGCAGTGTTCCCCAGCCAAGCCCACAGAGCCCCACCGTCCCCAGACTGCAGCCTGTGATCCGTGCCGCTCTGGTCATGCACTTACCCACTGGAGCCCCACTGCTCACCGTTAATCGGTGACTCAGACCCCGCAGGCAGGGTGGCTGAGGTGTGCTGGTAGCCATGCACAGGTGTGCTGGTAGCCAGCAGGTGTGGGCCAGCAAAGGCCATCGCACGGGCAGAACAACAAGGCCAGAAGGAGCCGATGCCTTCCCTGGCACTCCAGGCAAGGCACTGCGGAGGCTCCAGCAGGGCCAGGGCCAGCAGGAGTGCAGGAACCAATTATATTTATTTCTATTAAACCCTACGGGAAAACGGGTTTTACTTAAACGTGGTTTCACTTAGGGCTCATTTTTTCAAGAGCCAATTAATAGTGCTAAGTGGGGGTTGCCTGTAGAGGAATTGACCATGGAATTTTACCACAGCCTTTAGCATTCTGAGATTTGCCAGTTAGGATTCTTGTCAGTTTAGGATTGATTCAAAGCCCACTTGAGTCAAAATGGATTCCAGTATACATCTCCTGCTGCAGAACAGGACACAAATACTGTAAATGTAATCATTTGCCTAGAACAGGGGATGTCAACCAGGGAAACATGTACCCCTGGGGGTACTTGGGAAGGCACCAGGGGGTGCGCAGCGTGCTGTTGCTGTCATGCATCCGGCTGCTGGAGGACCACCCCCCTTGCTCAGCAAGGGCTGCTGGGGGAACCCCCCTGCTCCACATCTGGAAGGGGGTCACCGCCTCAAAAAAAGGTTGAAAAACTCCTGGTCTAGAAGGATAATTTTACAGTAAAGACACTAGCTTGTTATGACATGACTGACTAGCTATATTTTGTATGATTTAGAGAACACATCACTTGTATGCTATTGGTGATAAACAGAAGTTAACATACTAGAATTCCTTTTCTTGCTTAAACACACCATCTGTACTGTATTTCAAGAAGGACATCTAATAAAACCATATTTAAATTTTGAGTAAAAAAAAGGGGGAAAAAGTTAGTTACTGGAGAGAAGAGTTTCTATAACAGGTGCCATTTGGAATAAGAGACAACAGTGCAATTTTAACTATATGCTTTATATAAATCCATACCAGAGTCCAGTCCATTTGTTTAAGAGAGTCAAATACCTACTTACAATTAAGCTTAGTAGCCATGAGAAGTGGAATTTACTCTAGCCCAGAAAACAGCTATTTAAATAGGTAACTTGAAGAGAGAAAGTACAAACATTAATTTAATATTTCTAGATCAGTGTTCTTTCTTTCTCTTCCCATCCCACAGAACAATTTCACCTTCTTATTTACCTTAGTTTTAATGACTCCATCATGTTGTTCACAGTGTTGTTTCAAAAAAAGTTTAAGTCTATCACGAGAAAATAAATGTTTTCTCCTGCTGTAATAGGAAAAAATACGTTACCAATGATGTTTGATCTACATTCTCTTATTACTGCAAATTTTGAGATTGTACTTCAAATGAAGAGACAGAAACTTTGCCTATTGGAAAACTTGTCTTATTTCCCTCAGTCAGATTGTAATTTAGTATTATTGTAGCTAAACATTGCTCTCAGAAATTCTAATGAGAATAAATATTGCTTCAGAAATAAGGTAAGAAACAGCCACTTAAGTTCTCCACGATAGGGAATCTGACTTTGTTTTAAAACCATAGAAGAGCAACATCTCACGTGCGCATGTGTGGGGGTGCACATGCACAAAACCATGAAAAATCCTCCATAGCTTATTGTTTCTACATGAACCCTCAAAAAAGTTAACACACCCCTTATTATTTTTATTAATACATATTAAAGTAGTGGCAGAAAAGGTCCAACCAAAGATTGCAACCTCACTGCCTGACAGGGTATGTGAACATATATAATAGGAGGGACAGTACCAACGCTGAAAAACTTACTAAATAGCATGCAATAAGATAAACAGTATTTCTGATTTTGCAAAGGCCCCATTTCAGCAAAACAATATTTAAAAGAATGTTTGAAAGTAAGCACATGCTTAAATGCTTCGTTGAACAAGTTTGGATTGTTCAATCAGGACCAAAGTTGCATAAAAGTGGTCTCCAAAACAGCTGGCAGTTGAACTGAGACAGCTTAAGAAACAATATTTTAACCTCAACATTCTTCCATCCCCCAAACCTGTGTAGATGTTCTTATTACACAAAGAAATATTTCTAATATTATTAAAAACAAATTATGATATAGAAAGAAAAACTGGAACTAAGTTATTTGTAATACTTCAAATGTTATTGGAACCAGGCTGATTTCCTCAAACTATTAACTCAAAAAAGGTTTTGTTTAAACTCATTGTCATTTAAATTATGTAGTTTTATGTACATGAATTCTCCATTTTAAAAGGAGTAAAAATATATGTTGCCATCTGTAAATCAGTTGAAAACAATTGCAGGACTTTATGAAAAAAAAAATGGAACTGTTGAACAAACACAAACACCACAATACAGTCAACATTATACAAATAGACAATCATTTGTTTCAGTATTTTTCACTAGACACTTTCAACTAAGTATTATTAGTCTGGTCCTGATCATAATTATAAGTACGTCAGATAACCTACATGATTCATCTATCAAAAAAATAAGGCAAGTAATTTTTACCTTAACTGAGATGCTTTTACAATTACAGATTCATATAGCTCTTTTTTAATAGGCTGGACTTTGTACTTGAATAAGGAGGGATCAATTATGGCTTTTTTCTTCCTAAAAATATAAAGTAAAATCGAAGTATTTTAAAACTCAGAGACACAAATAAATTCTTTAATAGAGATTTTAAATCAAAAGCTTTAAAATGCAAAGCACAATAAGCTCCTGGAAATACATAAGCATGTAAAAATGCTCACAATTTCTAGTGGAATGAGAACTGACCCAGTAAGCATTAAAACAAACATTCTAAGTCATACACACACACACACACGCTTACTCCATACTAAATCTTAAACAACAACAGGATAAGTTAATTTAATAAATACAATTAGTTTTGAAGTTTATATTGCAAAATGCATGGGAGTTATCATTACTTCCAGCCATGAAGCAAATCACTATACTACTGTAATAATTTAAATGCAACACTGTAGCTGTCAATATTCTTAAAGGAAGAGTTTGCATGTCAATACATTCATTTTTCTTTTCTTTTTTTTGGGGGGGGGGGGGG